CTGGCCACGATGGGCCTCGTGACACACACGGACATATAGACCAGTTCCGAGCATGGGAAGAGGCACGCACTGTGGGACATGCTCACACAGTAAGCTGTGAGCGCAGCCCACTAAGCACACCAGGCGCCAGGCAGCTGCCTAGAACTGCGCCTTCCTCAGTGAAGACGGCTGTGAAATCCTGCCATAGGAGCGGCAGTGCCCACTGGGCCCGACGCTGCACGTCGCCGCTCGGGCACCTGGCCTCTAGGCATTAATCAGCTAACTGACGACACCAACCAGCAGCTATGGAAAGGTGGTTCCCCTACATGTTAGATACTTTAAGCACCATATATCCCTTCCTCTCATTAAGATAATTCACACAAAAATCACTGGCTAAATACAATAAATTTTTTTTTTAATTATTCCTTTTTATTAACCTGTGCAAGCAACATCATCTGACTCACAATAAGCAATGTCTCTGGTAAACTGTGTTGAAAATCTCAGCTGAGACCTGAGGACGAAAGTGGCTTCTTCCCTTCCATGGAAAATCTAGGCTTTAGTACATTTTGTGTACTTGACTCTCAAGTGTGTTTGCGAAGAGAGATGAAAATACAGCTTCCTAAATTCAAAAAACTATATCAAAAGCAAGTAAAATGACCCTGCAGTGTAAGACTACATTTATAAAGGAGATAGATAGATAGATAGATAGATAGATAGATAGATAGATATAATATACAACATAAAATGCAAAATTTTTAAATATACTCTGTAGGGAAACTGGAGAAAAGGCACACCCATATTGCTGGTGGGAATGTAAAATGCATGTATATGTATTTATCTATATGCATTACCTATATGCATTTATCCCTCAATCAAGCAATCCTTCATCTAGAATCTATTTCAAAGATAAACTGGCAATAAAACAAAAGAGCTGGATGCTGTTCATTATAATACTATTCATAAAGCTAAAGACTAGAAAAACCCTTATGTCCACCTAGGGAACGGGTTAAATAAACAATAGTACATCCACAAAAGCGTAACTTGGAAGCTATAAAAGAGGAATAAAGTATGTTGTTAGATATTACTAAGTAATCTTTAGGATGTGTTGCTAAGAGAAGCTGGCAGAAGTTTATATAATATGCCACCAATTTCTTAAGAAGTGAGAGGGAAGGTGCATATATGAATATATTTTTTAAAATGAAAGGATGAGCCACAAATAATTTTTTAAAGGATTCCATACTGGGGAAGGGGAAGACTAGGGTAAAGGATCAGGATAGAAGCTGGTCCTTTCGAAATGCCTTTTTATAGATTTAACTTTGGACCCATGGAAACACTTTAAATAATTAAGAAGCAAATGTAATAAAACGAAAGGAGCTTTACATTTTTGAAACAAATAAACCTCCACATACCCACACGGATAGAAGGATTCAGTTCGTATAGATCAGCGCACGCATGTGGGGAAATTACTGAGGGGAGGAAAAGAACACGCGAAAGGGCGTCAGAGAGTAGCCCTTGGAGCTCACAGAGGGCCAGAAATAGTGCCTCTTTATGTCTGCAACTGACATGTATTATTAAATCTGATAATTTACTGGCCATGGGGATTGCCTCAAGAGTGGGCAATTATCAGCTACAGTTTCATTGCTGCCCCGATCCCACTAAACAAAGCCAAATATAAAACCCAAAAGTATCAAACTGTTTTCAAGTAACTTAACTGAATTCTAAAGCACAGCTCGGGATTATTTATTACAATACAAAAATATCCAGCACCCAACAAGATAAAATCCACAATGCCTGACATTCAATCAGAGATTACCAGGCATTCGAAGAAGTAGAAAAACATGACTTATAATAAGGAGAAAAATAAACTGAAACCAACCCAGAAATGGCACGAATGTTAGAATTAGCAGATAAGGACATTAAAATTATTATAACTATATTCTACTTTGTTGAATAGCTAAAGGAAATATTGAACATGTTAAGCACAGACTTGGGAGATATAAGAAAAATAAAACTTTTAGAGAGGAAAACTACCATGTCTGAGATGAAAAATACACCGAAAGGGATTAACAGTAAATTAGACACTGCAGAAGAAAAGATTAGTTAAATTGAAGACATAGTAATAGAAATTATCCAAAATAAACAGAGAGGGGGAGGCCTAAAAATCGACCAGAGCATCAGTGAGCTGTGGGACAACTTCAAGAAGCCTGAGATATGTATAATTTAGTTCCCAAAGAGAAGACACATATCTACGCTGTCAATTTCTTTTTTCTGTGCCTCCTGCATGAACTGGCAATGCAGAGGTAATTCAGAGTGGTGGTCACCACAGAGATCCCATCCCTCATCATTAAGGGCATTAAGGTTCCAGGTGTTTTTCAGGGCATAAACTTGCACCTCGAGAAATGGGCTCAGAAGCTCCCCGAGACCCCCAGGCCTTCTCCATGGTTTCCCATTCTCAGGCTGAGGCTTAGTGAGTAAATCCCTTCCCAGAACTTTTTCCCACTGAGCAAAACACTGGAGGCCAACCGTACCCCCTTGTTCCCAGGCACTAAGGACTCTGGGCAACTGGCAAAAACCTGATGAGTCCCTGAAAGGGAAACTGGAAGTTAGCCTCAGAATTTCCTAGGTAGTAAGCTGCTCTAACACCAAGCTTCATGGGTCCAGAAACCTTAGGAACAAGTGCTTGTGAGGTGCTTGGCTCTCCTTGTGACAATTCTCCACATGTGGAAATAAAAGAGTTCAGCACGGCAAGGGTCTGGCGTGACTATCTATAGATCTAGATCCATATCCACAACTACTATCGTTACAATGGGGCTTGTGATGCTAAGTGACGAGTCATGTGCATGATATTCTGGCAAAGGCACCACTAGAGGGGCAGGAAAGAAATCTGTGTGCTTCCGGGGCGGGTGTGACAGGAGAGATGGACCACAAAGGGGGAGCACAAGGGAATTTTTGGAGATGAGAAAACTGTTCTATATTTGGCATTTATTAAGTATAATCCAAATGTTTTTGATCAATGTAACCTCAATAAATTTAATTATTAAAAAAAAGATGGAACACCTCCCCCCACCCCCAGCTCATACTCTGGTAAAAAACTCCTCCCAGGGTAAAAGTCCTCTTGAGTCAGTGCTTCTCAAACTTTAATATATATATGAACCTCCAGTAAGTTTATTAAATTGCAGATTTTGATTCAGGAGCAGTGAGAGGAGAGATTCTGCAGTTCTCACAAGCTTCCAGGTGATATCAATGTTTCTGGTCCGTGGACCACACTCTAAGTAGCAAGGCTAAGGACACTAAAGAGATGGCTTGATATATAAAGACCAAGAATTATTCATTCAGATTGAACAAGACGTGACACACTGTGTTGGCCTGTGTAAATGAAAGGATTGGTCCCCTGGCCACAGTGCGTCACTATTCTCAGAGCTGAAAGCTGACCAGCTGTCATTCCATAGGTTTACCTCTTTGGCTTCCAGTGGAAGCCTGGAGCCAGGTCTGGAACCAACTCCAGCTCAAGGTGGTAAACAAAGCTCTTTACAACAGAAAACCCTGTCCTGAGGGTCGTCTTCAAGAGGCCCAGAAAGCCACAAAGGCCCATCCATCCACCATCCACCCATCCATACATGAATAGCCACTTCTCTTCAACTGAACATGGAAATTACTCAGCCAGAAAGGAAGCCGATGCTGATTTCTTGTGATTTTGTAGACATGCCTACGACTTTGAGTGGCACCACCTAAGCACCGCTGCCAGCCGAGGCCTGCCTGTGCTCCAGCAGGGGAGTGGCATTTGTGGAGTGGTTTCCCAGCAAGAGTAAGAAGTGGCCAAGACAGGAAGCCAAGTGTTGAAGGATGGGAAATGGCTGGCTTTTATATTCAACAACTTTATAAAATTTCCCCAGAGAACTCGCACTTCTTTTTGATAGTAAAAAAATGCTATATAAATGTTTTCACAAACAGCTTCTTTGCCCACAGGTTCTTTCAGATATAACACACCACTTAACAGACTAATGATACATGCCAACACCTTCAGACACTTTGCTTGGGAGCTTTTCAAGAGGAAGCAACTGCATGTGTATTGAGAGTCTATTACAAGCTATTAACATTTATTGAGGACTTACTATGTGCCATGAACTGTCCCAAGTATATTTCACACATTTGTGATTTCAACTAATGCTCACAATAAACCCACTTTACAGTTGATAGATCTCCGGCACAAGGGGGCTGGACAACTTGTCTGAAAGTAATGTTTAATTGAAGTACGGCCATGCTCATTTATTCACATATTATCTATAGCTGCTCTTGTGTTACAGCAGCGGAGTTAAGTAGTTGTGACAAAAACCCTATGGTCCACAGAGCCAAAAATATTTACAATCTAGCCCTTTTCAGAGAGGATTTGCCAACCCCTGATCTAGAGACTTGAGCTGTACAGACGTTAGACTAAAAGACTGGGTGTCTCTTCTTTGCCAAGAAGTGTGTAACAGGTGCTGTCTTAGTCTGTTTAGGGCTGATATAACCATATACCACAGGCCGGGCAGCTTATAAACAACAGAAATTTATAACTCACACTTCTGGTTATTGGGAAGTCCAAGACTAAGGTGCCAGTGTGGTGGCCTTCTGGTGAAAGCCCTCTTCCTGGTTCATAGCGTCTGCCGTCTTGTCATATCTGCCGTCTTGTCATATCCTCCCATGGCAGGAGGGGCTAGGGTACTCTTTGGGGCCTCTTTTATAAGGCACTAATGCTGTGCATGAGGGCTTTGCACCTTCCAAAGGCCTCTCTTACCAGTATAGTACCACTACCTCTAGGGGTTAGGATTTCAACATATGAATGGGGTGGGAGGGACACATTCAAACCATAGCAGATGCCTTCAGTGCATATTCAGGCCTTGCAACTGAGCTTGTGCAATTCTATTCACTGTCTCATCTAGGAAAACATAGTTGTTAGAAAAGCATCACATGATGGGATCACACTCTTTGTCAACATGTTCTAATACTGCACTGGCCTAGGGGTTAGAAAGCATGCTACTTACTCCCTCATGCGTTGCATCTTGGTCCCGGTCATTGCACTGTTGAAAATTGTCGGTCCCTGGGACATGTCAGTAATCGTGCTGCTGATTGTCCTTGTGTCTGAAAATCAATGCACAGACCTTATAAACTTCACCAGCACTCCAGCTTCTCCAAGGCAACATTCAAGGGCAGTCAGAAAACAGAAGCTAATCCACCTTTGCCACAAGGTAATGCCACATTAATTAAAGAGAAATTCAATTATGCCATGCACATTAAGGAGATTTATTCCAAATGACAAGATTATTTATACATAATATGCATGAGAGATTTCAGGACCAAGCTGCTCTCAAAAAGGATTATTTAAATAGAAGACTATTGTTTAAAAGATTGCCTTCTTATACTGGAAAACTCAGGGAGAAATGCATGGATAGAAAAGCAATAGTTCTTGGAGAGCCTTTGCTTCTGATGACTGAGAAATTTTTGCTGATAATCTTAGCTTTCCCTTTACCTTAATCCCACACCTGAGCATTAGCTTTTTTGCAGGGAAAAGCAAGATGCTGCCAGGAGGTCATCTGCAGCCTTGAACTTCAGCAGAATGGAGCAGAAGGTCAAGGTTGGGTTCCGAAGGTCAAGAGTTGTCAGTGAAAGCTGCGGTGTCAGGAAATCTGCTGAGCGAGCCACAGCTTCTACAGAGGTGCCCTGGAGGCTCTTACAAAACATGTTGGAACTGAAGGGAAAGAAACAGTCCACCAACTGAAATATCAGTACTTTCCACTAAGAAGCTAAAGCTGGCCGCTGAGCCAGGGCTCAGGGCAATCCCGAGCTGAATTTGTGCATGGGCCCTCGTGGAGCTGGGGGCAGAGTCCTCCCTGTGTGCTCTTTAGATCTCCCACAAGATGCCTCACACTGCATTAGGAAAACACTGTGAACACCCTAATATTCATTTATAAGTTATATCCATGTGGTTGCTATGTCAGAGAAGGGACCCAAGTTGTGAAATTCCCACTCTTTTCCCAACAGATCTCATATAACGCGTGGCTGTCTGACTTACAGACCATGTGAGAAAGTGGGAGCCAAACCCCATTTTACATATTAGTAAAGCTATCTATCTATCTATCTATCTATCTATCTATCTATCTACCTACTTATCAATCTATCTATCTGATGCCATATAATAAAATACAGTAAAGTACACTGCAACAAAATACAGTATAATTATTGGATGCAACTTCCTTCAGGAAGTCCTCCCTGATTCCCCAAGGCTGGGGTAGTTGCTCCTCCCTTTGTACTCACATAGCAACAATAACAGTATTGTTCACCTGTAGCCATGTAATTCGTGTTGATTTTTCTTTCTCCCCCAGACTGTAAGCTCCATGAGGCAAGCACAGTTTCATTCACTGCTGCGTAAGCCCCCAGTGCACACCCATGCTCTCGCTAACCTACAGACGACTCCACATGCTGTTCATTAAAAAAAAACTTTTAGTAGAAATTTGATATTTATTTTTTCCCATTTTTATTAGTTTAGTTTTGTTACAGATGTTTCTCCTTTTCCCCCCTAAACACCCTCCTCCCCATCCCGCCCCCCTCAGCATTGTCACTTTTTTCAAATTTATGTTTAAATTTATAAATGTATGAACAAATTATAAATTTAATTATACATTAACTTTACATTTAATATAAATTTGTGAATTTATACTTACATTTTTTAGACTTTTTAAATTTTAACACATTAAATACAAATTCCAACATTTTTCCTGTATGTACACCCTTCTTTCGTGTACCCTCTTGGGGCGCGCATCCCACTATGAATTCCTGCCTTCACGGATGTTACCGAGATGACGCTGCACCCTCCCGCCCAGCGGTGTCAGAATCTCCGCTCTTTCCTCAGGCTAGATCTGTAGGTGTGGGATTTCTGCATCAACAGGTAGAGGGCACATTACAACCGGTTAAGTAAACCACCTGTGCTTCCTGGCGCGACACCATTAAGACACCAGTGACTGGTCCTCCCACTGCAGGGCGACCCTTCCACCCGAGAGGAAACCTGCCTCTGGCTCTGGCTGGGACGGCGGCTTCTCTTCGGGGAAGGCTTTGTGAGTGGGGGGAGGGCTCATGTTCACACTGGTTGCTTTTAATCATCACTTTCCCGGATCCTAGGGTTACTAGAACAACGACCAGCACACTAAACCAGGCGAGCGCAAGCCCCAGACTCCGTTCTGCGGCACTGAAGGGGGGTGCTGCTCCCCCTTCCAGGAGCAGCGAGTCCTGAAGGCTTACGCAAACACGGCCGAAGAAGTTTCCAGGGGCTGCAGTTTAATTTCGTTTGGCCACTGTTCCCCTCAGCACGGCGTTGCTGGGTATGATGCTGAGCCTTGAGCGCAAGAGGGGAGAACAGGGCCAACAGAAATTCAAGTAACGGGGTGGCCAAGCTTGGTGCGCGGAGCGATTCGCCTCCCAGTGTTTCTCGTGGCAGCCTGTCCCCTCCATCCCACCGTCCCACAGGGACAGCAGTTGCTTTATGTCGATGAAAAGGACAACACATTTAGCAATCATGATACAAATGACTGGGTTAGAATCCTAGGCTTCACTATTAGGTCACTGAAGCCCAGAGAATGTTCTAGACCATGACTTCTCAGACTTTAACTTGATACAAGTCACCCAGGGTGTCGGCCTATGCCGCCCTCTCAGTCCTGTCCACCAGGGTTCTGACTCGGCGGGTGTGGGTGGGACCTCAGAGTCTGCAGTTCTAATGAGCTCACAGGTGACTCCAATGCTGCTGGCCCTGGACCATATTATGAGTAGCAAGACTAGACAGGCCAGCTACATAATTCATGGGGCCCAGAGCTACATGACAGTGCAGGGCCCGTTGTTCAAAAAGCAAGAGAAAAGCTTTCTGTCTTCTACATCTCTCCCTGGACCTGTCATGGAGCTTCTTATTGGGCATTTAATGCCACTCTCTCAGGAACTGGGACATACACTCCGGAGGAAGAGTGAAGTCCCTCACGGCCCAAGGGCTCCACCTAACCATCCACTCCCCCAGCTGTGCCCTGGACCCCACAGGGAATGGAGGGTAGCAATGCTAAATAGTGGTGGTGAGAGAAGACATCTCTGCTGTGTTCCTAATTTTAGGGGGAAAACATTCAGTCTTACACTATTAAGCATGGATTAGCTGTAGATATTTTCAGATGCCCTTTATCAGGTTTAGAAAGTTCCTTTTCATTTCTAGTTTGTTGAATGTTTTTGTCAAGATGTTTTTTCTGCAACTATTGAGATGATCGTATGGTTTTTGGCCCTTATTCTATTGATACGGTGTACTACATTGATTGATTTTCTGATGTTGGACCACCCTTGCATTCCTGGAATAAATCCTGTTTGGTTATGAATATAACCCTCTTATGTTGCTGGACTTGGTTTACTATAGTATGCTGCTGAGGATGTTTGCACATATAATCATATGAAAAATGGATGTTGGTCTGTGCTTTTTGTTATTTTGCTTGTGATGTCTTTGTCTGGTTATGGTATCAAAGAATGACCTCACCGAATGAGTTTGGTAGTGTTCTCTCCTATTCTGTCTTCTGGAAGAGTTTGCAAATGACTTGTATTAATTTTTCTTTGAATGTTTGGTGAATTCACCAGTGAAGCAATTTGGGTCTGGGTTTTTCTTTATTGGAAGTTTGTAAATTATTAATTTGACCTACTACTCAAATTTCTTTTTCTTCCTGAGTTAGTTTTTGTCTCTGTGTCTTTCTAGAAATGTGTCCATTTGATCTATTATCTGATTTGCTGTCATACTGTTGTTCTTAACATACCCTTAAAATCCTTTTTATCTCTTTAAGGTTGAGAGTAATGTCTTCCCTTCATCCCCGATTTATTAGTGTGAATCTTCTTCTTTTTTTGATCAGTATACCTAAAGATGTATCAACTGTGTTGATCTTTTCAAAGAACCAATTTCTGGTCTCACTGATGTCCTCTATTATTATTTAATTTATTTCTACTCTGGAGTTTATTATTTCCTTCCTTCTGCTTGCTTTAGGTTTAATTTGCTCATCTTTTTTTATTTTCTTTAGGTAAGGCGTATATATTTAGATGCTCCAAAGATGGAAGTTAAAATCAAAGGTAATGTAAAAAATAGTAGCTGTGTTCCTTAACCCATAAACAACTTGCACTAAATTGGGGTAGACAGGATCTCTATCTAGATAATCACCTGATTATTACTGAGTACACACACCTAGGACACAATGCCAGATAGGGGAATACACAGACGCATAATGAGGGTCTATGGAAAAGCACCAGCCTTAAAGTTACGGACCCACAGTTACTGTTCTCCTTCTACTCTCACCAGCTACAGGGCCCTCGGGTCACCTTCCTGGGCCTCAGTTTCCTCAATTTGAACATCCCATGATCTGGCATTAGACATATCCCTGGACGTGCAGGGGAATAGCAGTTACCTGGGAAGGCAACACTTACACTAACAAAGATTAAGAGCCATCAAAGGGGCCAAATGTTAAGAGGCAAAAAGCTGGGACCCACAAGAAATGCCACAGGCAAAAACATCAGGCAAATCATCCTGAACTCTCTTTCCCCATCAGTGAGTTACAGGATGACGAGGATTATCATACTTGGTACTACCCCATGGGGATGTTTTGACAATGAGATGAAAACAAAGTGGCATGAAAAGACATTAAGCAACTAGAAGTGGTGTTTCTTCAGCACACAGAACACAGCTCATAATAGTAACGTTGTCAGGATCCCTCCCACCCCTGTGCTCTCACCGGCTGAGCTATTTTCCCTGGAGCAGTGACAGCTTGATGATCCTGACGTTTCACTAGCAGGGAGACGTTCTCTCATTTCATCCAAAATTTCCCTTTATTCATTTCAGTTGCTGAACAAATGACCTTGATCATAAAAACCTGTGTCTGCCCTCCCTGCTAAGTAAGCATCGTACCGTATGGGTAATAAAGAGCTGATACAGGGACTGCAGGGATGGATATTTTGGCAAACAAGATCTCCTTAGCACCTGGGACATTGCTTACTCAGGAATCCTTGCAGACGCTGCTGCCCTTGGTGCACAGTGCAAACAGAATACTCCACACCCAACCTCCTTTTAATCCTCCTCCTTCTCT